AGGGTTGAATTATTAGATGAGCAGAAGACCCATTTTTGTTTGGTTGGCTGAAATCCGTAAAAAGTAAGAAGTACTGCCACCTGCAATTCAGTGTCTCTCTAAAAAAAAACCAACCAAACAAAAAACAACCAACCAGACAAAAAACCAACCAAACAAACAAACCAAATCAACCAACCAACCAGACAAAAACCAAACAAACCAACCAAATCAACCAACCAACAAAAACCAAACAAACAAACAAACCAAATCAACCAACCAAACAAACAACCAAACCAGAAAAACCATCCCAGAATTAACAGAAGTGGTCTGGTTCATCTGCATCAGTGTTGCTTAACCATAATGGACATTTTCATGCCAATGTATTCTTTTAACTGGGCTGATGCAAATTCAGAGTGGCCTTGCATGCTTGGGAAAGACTTCAAACGTAAGAGAAGAGCTATGTTGCATTGTGATATTGGGTACCAGAGAAGCAGTGCAGAGAATATCAGACATCTGCCCTGTGCAAGAGTTAGTATCCACTTGGACTGGCAGAGGGAGTCAAGACTGATGCCTGTGCTTGGCACCAGCCCCAATAAGCCCTGAGCAGAAGAACATATGTGGATGTGGTCTTCACCTCTTCATGAAGCGCCACCTTTGTGCACTTCTTGAAGTATACCACCTCAGTAGAGGGGATTTTTAGAGCTAGGAGCTGGCTCCTCCCTCTCTTGTGTTTATAGATGAGAGGTTTCATTCTCTAGCATAAAGTTCTGATATGCAGTGACTGAGGTGCAGCTCCTCTTTGTAGGCAGAGTGTAGTCAACAGAGCAGACATTTTTTATGTTGTCTTCACATGACTTCGTGCCTCCTTAGTTCTGCCTATAAGCACAACAATTAACTACCCTCCTATTGGGGTGTCTGTAAAAGCAGAAAAATAGACACTACCATTAAAAATAATAACAAAAAAAATTTTTAAAGCCCCAAGGATCAGACAGCATCCTTCTCCTACATTACAGCAATTCAACCTGATCATCCATTTGATGCCTGTCTCCCTGTTGAGTCCAAATTGGCTCCAGGACCACAGCAAAATTTGCAAGAGCTCCTGCTCACAAAGCCATTCCCTTTTGCCCAGGTCTGATTTGCCTGTCAGGGATTTATGTTCAAAGAATTTTTACATTTATAAACTTATTTTATAAAGCCTCCTTTTTTTGAAAAAAAATCAATTTATAAATGCATGCCAGAAAAGAAGGGATTTGTAAGAAGTAATTTTTTTTTTTTAAGAAAAACCCATACCCTTTTAAGAAAGGATATGTTTTTATTAGAAGATCCTGTTTTTTCTTAAGTAACCAACATCCTTGTGGTACAAGTGCACAGACTGATGCACAAGCTTTATGCCATGCCTGGATACTCAGCAGGTGTCTCCTTTTCCTAGATCTCTGCCATGTACTCGTCAGTGAGTAAGCCGGGACAGGCCATCAAGGCACTGGATTCTCCTTACACCTGTATTCAAGAAATTGCATCTCAGAGGTCCCCATCTATTTGCAGTGGCCTCTATGCAAGTGTGAAAGACTTTGAAAACACCCTAAATTCTACCACTGTGCCTCAGTCAGCGGACAGACCAAACGGGGAGCTGGAGCCGGACTATGAAGCTATCCAGTCAGTGAGCCAAGAAGAAGACAGGACCTTGTCTGTGCCTAACACAAATCACACTGCTCTTTCAGGAGAGAATGACTATGAGAGCATAGGGGACTTGCAGCACCACAGGGAATTCACCAGACTTTAACTACTCTGGCAGCAGATTTCTCTGCTGATATTTTCAAAGGAACAAGTGAAACATGGAGAGGGAAGTGCTTCTCCTTTTGAGGAACAAAGCTAAGTATAGAACACAAGTTGAGAAGAGGCAATGTATGTTTCAGCCAGGGTGTGATACCTGCTAGGTTAACCTGGATGGTGGACTGAGGCTTATGGCAAAGGGTACATCAGGTCAGAAGGATGACCAGGACAACATAAAGGTTTCTTTATTGCTAGCTCTGAGGTGACCAGAATTCAGGAAGAAGTGAGTGCTATGCTTGGTGTCCCAATAGGATTACATACCAAAAAGACTGCCTTTACACAAAGCTAACTTCTCATTTTGAGAGATTATTTTCTTCAAAGTGTTTTTCAAGCATCATTTCTCATTCCAGTTTGGGCATCCACAATGTTGAGCAAACCATGGATCACTGTACCTCAACTCAGACTTGCTTTGCAAGGCTGGGGAAGGCGCACTCACTTCTGTGTTTTTTGCAGAGCTCTGTCCACATTCATTGCAACTAAAGTGCAAACAACAGTACTTCACAAGGGACCTACTCCAAATGTACTTGAATTAATTCTGTTGGCTTTTTCTTTCTTTTTTTTAATGTCAAGGGTTGTAGAATGTGACCTGCAGTATTTGAGATGTGTACTGGTATTTGTAGGGGTTTTGTTTGATTATTTGTGAAATACCACTTTAAAATGGCAACTGTCACCCTTAGTGTTCTTGCCGTGTTTCCCTTACATGAAGATAAATACCTACCCACGCACACCCCAGACAATTGTCATGTTTCAAAAAGTCATGCAAATGAATGCATTGGCATAATGTTTAGTCTAACCTTAATAGTGTTGAGTCATTTTTTTAAGAATTTTGCCCTTTTTTAAGACTTAAAATATTTTAATATGTTTGTCTAGTTTATTATATGGGAAAATTTATGTACTGTGTTAAGTGGATAATATTTTTATTTTTTACAACATATTTTTCATCTTCAAAGTTTTTGTAGATAACTTACTGGCTTTTGTAACAGGAAGAATCCCATTCTTTGTTTGGGCTTTATTTGGTTTTCGTTAAAATTTTTTTCCTATTTTAGAAGTAGGTAAATGAACAATTGCTTTAGGGTTGTTTTGTTGGCTTTTTTTGTCTCCTTGAGCAAGGATGTGGAATCTGCCTTGCTGTTTTTAAGCTCAAAATAGTGGAGTCTATGTAAAAGAACATGGCCAAAGGGCAAAAAAGAGGCAGAAGAGACAGTAGGATTTAGTCAGGGATAGCCACTAGTCCTCCTTGTTCTTCTGGTGAAAGGAGCACGAGAGCAACCAAGACTTTCTTAGTTTGAAAGCCACTGGTTTTTTAAAGATGCCGAGTTATTCTGTTACTATGAAAACCAAAGTACAGTGCTTGGATGAAATAAGTAGGTACTGGATTGCTATGTATTTTTACTCAAGAATGGTACAATAAATAGTACAATGGTACAAGAATAGTCCAGCAGTAGAGAACTGGCATCGTGTGATACGCATGTGTACGTGTGTGCACATATCCCCATGTATATAAACATACACTTGTAATTTGGACACAAGTATAAATTATAGTCCAAGCTTGGTAACATACACATATGTAATATATGGCATGTGCTTGAAGAGCAGGGTTTTTTTAATTCAAAATAAACAGTACATAAACTGAGATTGGCTTATTCTGTACTAGCCAAAGCAGGTTTAGTTTCAGCTCAGTTGACACTGGGTTTTGATACACCAGATTGAGCCCTTCTCGGATCACTGGCCAGTGCTCAACATTACTTGGTACTAAAAAGAGCAAACACAGATCAAAGAAGTGTGCTGATTTATGGGCTTTGCCTGTAAGTACAGCTCTGAGGAGCAGTGCAAGTGCGCAGACAAACTGCCCACGGGGTGATTCAAACTTCATGAATCCTGACCTCATGCAACAGTGCAACACACTTGATCTATGACTCTCATCCTCGGGGGTGAAGCGGAAGTGGTTCAGACCAGTCTACATCCATCTTGTTCTTGGCCAAGCTGCCATGTTTTGACAGCTGCAGCAAACCCTTTGCTTCCACTCCACTGCAGTGCTCTTTAAAGCTGACTTTGGTCTTCCTTTATAGGGTTTTTACCTTTATAAAAGTTTCTGTTTCTGTTCCCTTGAATGTGAATTCATGAAGTTCGCCTTTGACTGTTCTCTCCTTCTACATCACACTATTTAAGGCCAAAGATAAGATGCACCACGTTTCAGAAGATCTGCTGTGCTAAGTCTGGAGAATTTCTGAAGTCTTTAACTATGGGTTTGCTCAGGGGTACTGGTTTATATATGTAGTCCTCCGTATGACTCCTGCAGCTTAGTGGCAGGCATACCTCAACTCCTGAAATTCCCACATACATAAGATGTAGTTATCCCTTTACATGGATGACTGCTTTTGGAGAAACAGTAGGAATATGAGATTTGCCAGGTTCTCCAGTTTCAATTTCAAGACCAATTCAAAGACAGAGATAATGCCAGTTGATAGCAAAGAATAACACTGATCTCTTGATTGTAAAATTTTAAGGTGCAAAAGAAAAGCAAACATCACTCTAGAAGTGCCCCCATCAAGATCAGCAAGTGAAAGGATGGTGGAGGACTGTCCTGTCACTCTGTGGTCTTTCACAGCTGGATCAAGAATGTTGGTTTGGAGAAAGGGACACAAGACTCAGCTCCTTCCTTCCTTTCTTTCCTCTGTTCTAACAGCTGCACCTTGAGACTTCCCTTTTTCATGGTGAAATCCCTCCCCCTCTCTTCTTTCTTTGGTTTTATTTTTAACCTGTGTCATACAGCCTCACACTGGGAGCTGGTACTGTGTCTGCAGTTCTGTGGTACTGGCACGTTCCTTCCTGTTTAAATGACTCTAAGGCTGGTGAGAGCCTTTTAATTGTCAACCAGACCCTCAGCCTCATGGAGAAGCAACTCAAATTTTGGATTGCTGCTTGTGGGATGTGTACCTGCCTTCAGCCTGGAGACACACACACGCGCGCGTTGGAGTTGAGAGCTGCAAAAAATAATTACCCTCCTGAACAAGCATGGACAGGGGAGTCCATAACTTCCCTAAAATCTCCATTATGTAGTCTAATGCTAAAGAAAAATATTTTATAACTCAGTCCAAGGTTCTTACGTGAATAATTACATCTCTTGACAAAGAATCAAGTTTCTGTTTTAGTTCCCTCTTCCCAGAAGATCTGTTCCTTTATAGCTGTTGCCAGTGCTTCCTTTTCACTAATATATCAGATAGAAAGATTTTTCCAACAGTAATTCCCAAATAGATTAATTTGATTGTAAAGAAAAGGGAGTCTATTCTGCTAGTCCCTTTATTGCTATTTTTTCCTTTTTCACCATATTCCGAAATAAAATGTCAACATCCAAAATGAAGTACTTGTTACCTGGTGATCTTTTCAGGGGAAGCTTCACAGTCTATTTCTTTGTTTCCATTTTTTGGCATAACTATATAATAAGATCTCACATCAAATTGCCACAATAGGGCCAAGAGATGCTTTAATGTGTGTATAACTGCACTGGTGAAAAGGTCTTTTTGATTTTCCTCTGGGAACTGGTAGAAATAGGAAATGCAGTTCAGACATCTCTTCCATGAATCCGTGTCTCCTGTGGGAGTTGGTCTTACCACATACTTAAACCAGTACTAACCCCATACATAAACCAGTCATTCCTTTCTACCATGAGTGTAGAATTACTTTCTCAGTCACAGAGAGAAACAGATTCTTTGCAGATACCTGTAGCACAGGCATGTACCTAATTACCACAGTTAAATCAGTTATAGTGCCTTTTTTACAAGTAGCTAGTACTTCCATACTCTTTTCCATACTGTGTGTGTTTAACTCAAAAGTACAAAGGGACAATCCCAACATTTACTTGTCTAGGTTGGAAACATCTTTATAGAGACACATTTAATGTACTGGAACTCAGTTGGCCATACAATAGCAATAGTAGCTCACAAACATTCTCTAAAAAGCCCAGTAATGTAGCTACGATGACTAAGCTTTGCAATAAGAATTATCATTCTTCTTTTGAAGAGCCTAAGTTTTTCAATAGTGAGCATTCAGGGAGGTGGTGTCCATGTCAACTGTGAACAATTACGTGCTTCAGTCTTTCTAGTAATATAAATGGCAGGCTTGCTTACATGTAGCAGGATTCATGGGGTAAGGGATGAGTACGTGTAGGGATTCATATTCATGAGTCACACAGAGTTGGACCATTTCTACAGTTGCAACTGGCTGATGACCAGCTGCCTTGTTCATCTATCGTGCCTTCAGGGACTCCATCATGCCGGGATCCTTCTGGGCTGTGTGCTTCTCCATGGCTCCCTGAGCAGCTCCTGTCCGCTGTTTTGATCACAATTCTGTATATGCGGTGCTCTCTGTTCAACCTTTCAATGGTGCTTTTATAAGATGCTGGATAAATGGTTTCCATGTGCTTTCTGAAAGCTGGTGTGTAAAGCCGTGGCACAGAGTGCTCTCTCTGGTATTGTCTGCTTCCCAGAACTTAGCGTTAACTGTGGTACTCTGACTACAAAAGCTGACAGTGCTGCCCTGTCTCTTGTTCATCCCACACACCGCCAGAGTGGGGTCACCACGTGTAACAAGCCTGCCTAGGTTGGGCCACTGGTGTTTAAAAGCAGCCATTCAGGCCAGGTGACCTGGCTTGGAAGCAGCTAGAGACATCTCATCTGTGCACTGTAGGATGGAAACATCCCAGAGCCGAGCTCAAGGACTTTTTTCTGTCTTCTACTGTGCATATACATTTGTTTGCAATGTGACTGTAAGAAATCTGTTTCTGCAACAAACATTTTAATTTGGGCCACACTCTAATGAGGGACTTTTGCTGTTAGGCAAATAACCAGTTATTTCACATGAGTGTTATTTATTTAGGTTGAAACATGCCTGGATAAGGCTGTTATGTGCTTCACAAGTAACTTGGTGTGTGTAGTCTGTTGCAAAACAGAAGAATGCAGAAAGATGCTCAGCCTGACAGATGCTCATGTGGTGATGTGCTGAAGGCTTTCAAGGGCAGGTCTCTTCCTGGGAGCCGGGAACATAATTACTATTTATGTAATTTCATACCCTGGTGCTGAAGCTGATTTGTAGCATCTCTTCTGGGATGGTCATGGCTGAAGACATTGCCAGAGCAGATCTCAGCCTCAGGGAAAAAAAAAATCTATATAAAATATATATCCCTTACTAGCTAGCAAAATATGTTCAGGATTGTGGTAAAGATAAATGCTACAAATGGAACATCACAGTAATAAAAACACAGGGTTCCCTTTCTTCAAGGAGAAAGAACCCCTTTTGCCTGGGCCAAATGATCCCAGGCTTACAAAAAGTATTAAAGAAATTAATTGCCAATGTGATAATTTTCCAGGAGTACATTAGGATATCACATACACTAGACACTGTTCTTTTCTTCTGGACAGCAGAAAGATGAGAGCTTATTTGTAATACAAGGTTTCCATTGATTAATTGATAAAACTTACTTCACATACAATCCAAAGTTCAGCAAGAGTGTCTACACAATGTAGATATATTTAAGCTATCTCTTAATGATCCAGCTCAGATGTTGTATGCAGAATCATTAGAACAATTTAATGCTTGGTCTGACCTGCTCACATAGCTTACTCTGGCACCCCAATTTCCATAACAAATGCTTGTATTATCTTGGCATTATGTACCCATTGGCCTGTGCCCAGTCTATAGATAATACAAATCTTACAGTTCTGTTTTTTCAAGCTCCAAGGTTTTGTTTTTGGAGGTCTTCAGTTTTAAACTGGCCACATCACTACAAACATGATAGCAAAGTGCCTAGAAATACAGATGTCTCTGTAAAGGTAAACATGTTCACTGTTATTGCACAGCTACCTGATTACTGTATGTGGTACTCTCTTGCCAAGCACATTCCTAAATGTTTGCTTTCATTTGTGGTGTTTATTTATTGTTATAATGGCACAGTCTGACAAGGTTTTTTTCTCTGCAAATTCATTGGCTAATTTTAACTAGCATATGTTTGTACAGAAAATATAAAACGAGATTTTTGCTAGTTTAGAAAGCAACTGTGTTATTTCTTATGATAATGCAACAATCAGCTTAGATTATTTATAAAGTATGTAAGTATCACTTGACTTCAGAATGCTTCATTGGAGATTTCAGAATGCCTCCTGTTCACTGCACGACAACGTAATCAACTCTTAATCTTCTAATATTGGCCAGGGGTGCAACCGGACATGCCTGTCTCATATTGGCCTTTTTAGCCACCAACGCGCTTGCAACAAATGTGGGTAGAGCCCTTCCCAAATCTTCGTTCGCGAAGCCTAATCATGATTGGCCAGGGGGTTTTAAACCTTACAAATACTATTACTTAAAAAATGACAGTGTTAATGTTTTGAATTCCTAATGTCTGCAAAGAGACTCATATTTTAACTTCCAGCATAGGTTGGATTTGGACTAGCCTCTTATTTATGGAACTGCTCTTCCCCACTACATTCAGCTGTCACCATCTGAGTATCTCTTCTGTCCTTAGTGAAATATGACAACTGTGCAGAGGGCACAGAAACTGCATCACATAACAGTTCTGAATGGGACATTTCTAATGCATCCATGAGATTTAAGAGCCTGGACTTCAGTCAGATGTTTTGGGGAAATGGCATCCTGTCTGAAGGCTATCTGTGGAGGTCTTGTCTTCACTTTCTTTCAAGGCAAGAAGTTCTGTAGGTTGAAAGCACTCACCTGATATTCAGAGATGTATGTAAAATGTGAATTGTCACAATGTTTAAATGTATTATTAAAAAAACACCTAAGAGCACAACCTTCTTTCTCACATGTCTGAGGATACTGAAACTTGGTCTTTATATCTGACACTGTTTGAGAAGGGTCACATAACAAGTCTCTTCAGAACATCCTACCAGCAGACAAGTCTTTGAATGATATCTGGGTCACACTGGTGGCTCCTGAGTTTCTGCATGTACTACCTTCATTATTTCCAGCAGGGCCTATTTCGTCTCTGTGGCGATGACTACTTAGGAATGGCCCTTTGCTTCACAGTCCTGACCTCTTTAACTTAGGAAAGGAGATGTGAGCTGCTTCTCCTCAGGAAAGTGTGCTAAGAGCCTGCACACCTAGAAAAGAGCATTCACTGTCAGGGCAAGACAGGTACAGCCCACTGCACCTGCTAGGAAGAGAGAGGTAATGGAACAAAAGCTAACTTTCATTTGCACTTCACCCATCTCAGAGACCACCTGTTTAGAAATATTTTTACAGTAGAAGAGATCATAATTAAGGGACAAGTTGCTGAGAATCTCACAGGAGACGGATGGAAATGTTTACTCGTCTCAGTATTCCCTATACCCAGAGAGGCAGGGGCAAGTCCTCTTTGCCTAACCATGATGCAGTTGGATCATCTTTTATCAAGCCTCTGTATCAACAGAACTGAAATTAATAAATAAATTCTAAATACATGTTTTTGTTCAATCATAAACCCAACATGGACAAATGTAGGTGCACTAACATTAAGAGCCATGTGTAGATCTGGACTTGCACAGATGGGGAGTTTTTAGCAAAAAACCCCAACCAACTAAACAAAAAACAACAAAAAAAACCAAACCCAAAGAAACAAAAAAACAACCCTAACTGGATTACTTTATTTAATTTACATGAGCTGAGGGTGCAGGATTGGGCCCTAATACTGAGTTTAGAAGAAGTTTGGTTTGGTGCTAGGTATTTTTGTTTGTGTTTTCAGTGAAATATATTTTCTTTCCATTATATTAGTGAATTGATATGAGTTCCATAAGAAAAACAAATACTAGTCTGGTATACAGATAATTATGTCAAAAATAGCTAATTATTAAATCATGCCTTAGTAAGAGTCACTTAAAATTGGGTGCTATAGGAGCTTCAGCATAAAATTGCTTTACAAATGGAACATTGCTTAGAACATAGTGAATAAGTATTTGTAATTACAAACACTTTCATTTATTTTATCCATTGTTTTACAATGGAAAAAATATGTATTACTGGAATATTTCCCAGCAATGTTCTCTTACATAATGTTCTAGCAACAAAATGTGTTTTCTGGACAACCATTTGAGTCTCTGGTCAGTGACACAGAACTGCAAAACATCCTCAAACCACTATGAGCTTGTGAAAAGAGAGGATTAGAACTATCTCTGGCTATCTTAGAGTGGATATAGTTAAATATACTGTGAAGTTCAGACCTGTAGGCAGTGAGAGCAGTTCAGTGCTTAAATGACTATGCTGCATAAAGCTGGAGTCAATGCATGCAGACTTCCAAGATGGCACTAGCTAAGGCTTGTTTGCTACATGAAGGGTTATTTGGCTTGCTGCCTGTTTGAAACCAACACAGCTTTATCAACGCCACTGCAGACACTGAAATATTGTAGTTTTGTAGAATGTATGTTCCATAAATTGTAGCTTGACTGTAATTGCAGGGCTTATGCTACTGTTAGAGCAGTTCGGACCCAACACTAAGTTGCATTTTGTAAATTAACAAATGCCATTAAATTCCTCTCAACGCTTTGTAATAGTATATAGGAGTTGATGTAATTTAGTCATACCTTTATTCCAAGAATCTTCATCAGATGTTTCTAGCCAATTCAGCTTTTGGCTGCTGAAAGCACAGTAGGCAATTACGGTTATTTACTGTAAATGTGGACAAGTTTTATGTAAATATTTCAGGGGTAAAAATGCTACATGAACATATGAGGCAGTTATCTAAAACTAAGAACACAGGTCAATAATATAAAATACAGATTTTATTTATGTACACTAGTATCCTAATATTTACTTGTTTATATGTAGAAAAAAAATCGTAAGATTCTGTACTGTACTGTTAAGAGAGGCTCTGACATTTTCTCTGGTAATGTATTTGCAAATTACTTTTGAATTTATTGGAAATCCATGTAAATTATGTCAAATGGGAAACATGTTACATTGCAATGAAAGGAGCTGAATTCAAAAATCCTGACAAAATTAATTGGATCGAAATCTATATATAAATTCAATTGCCAGACAGAATAAACCACAATAAATAAGCTTTGCTTTTGCTTAGTGATTGTTTGTTTTTACCTGTGCTTCTTTTTGTTGTTTTCTTAACAAATATTTTATTCAGTCCTTGTAGTCGCTTCCTCTTGCAGGTCTTAAAATCTGCATTATTTGATAGAATTTTATTTGTTCTGGGCATTTTGTGTCGATCTCATTATCTGACAAGAAATATTAAGCCTTCGTTGTACTATATAGCACCTTACTCTTTCCAAAGCCACAGTCCAGTCCAGATTCAAGCATGCACATAAAAGCACCAATTTTGTGTCTAGACAAAAGCAGGAACTTCCATGAATATTGTGACACTATGCTCTTTAATGCAGATAACAATTTTGGGTTTGAGCCTTTGAAAGTTGTGCAGCTTTTGGTATTTTTAAAGGGCTTCAATTACCAGCCTTATGGATTATCTTCTGAAATTGCCGTGGCATTTGATTCCTTTTCTTTGCTAAAGAAGCTCTCTAGGTAATGTTCCCCAGCCATTTGCTGCACTGTTCTGTCAATAGCAAGACACTCATTTGTGTAGAAATACTTTAAGAGCATCCTGAAGCATTTCGGAGGCAGCTGACTTAGTACCACAGCTGAATATGTAACACAGATTCTGCATGTAAATCTAACACAAAGAAACGTCATCTTTTAAAAGCGCCACTGGAAGAAAGCTGCTGTACACTAGAGCATGAGGCTGAAATAGTCCCTAGCCTGCTGGGACTTGCATTCTCCGTGCCTGGCACCTTCCTCCTCATTATCTTTAATTACATATAAGAAAAGAGCAGCTTTACTCATTCAGTGCTAAGTAGTTACTGATGAACAGGTTCCTGGAAAATTCACAGTGCAGATAGGGGTTTTTTATGCTGGGCTGAGAGGCTGAAGAAATTATACAGGCAAATAGTATCTGTTCACTGTCAAAGTGATGGCTCTTTAATGTTTAATCTGGGTAAGTGTATTTTAATACCAAAGATATAAAGTTACAGGTCAAATAGAGGACTTGTAAAAATAAGGAATATTTCATGTGAAAAATCATTCAAGATCTCAAAAGTGTAAAAGAAGATTGCTTTTTATTGAACATTTGTTCATGGACCAAGAAACTGCAAAATATGTAATTCAGTGTAAAT